GCCAACTAGATGGTTCAAGTTCTGGACCCAGCGGCTTGAAAATCATGCTAGGTGTGTGTGCCCAAAATCCAGAGAGGAATTGAATGGAGGATAAAGGATTGTGGTGTGACCATCTCCCCCAGGGGTGATTTCTCACTTTCTCTTTTTTTTTCTATGTCTGTGAGTGAGCACATATGCCCTCTAGCAAAACTGGGGGAAAAAAAAAAAGAATGTAGGAAGTTTAGCCGTTGTATTAAGGTACAAACTCCTGATGTTGCAAGTGGATGTTTTTTTTTCTTATTTTGAAGACCAATTTAATTGGTATCTGGTCTTTTTTAAACTCACCATGTTTCTTATTTAGATTACTGACCTTAGGGTGGAGCCCATTAGTAAATGGGATAAAAAAGGCCTTTCGTATGCCTGTATTCAACATGAATATTTCTGAATAAGAAACAACCCAGTTTGACCTGAACATGTGTTTTAAACATTTTATCTAGCTTTCTTTTGCTTTGGGACAGGCCAGTAGTAAAGCAAAAACTTCGGGAGACTTAATTTTTTATGTCACATAAGCTTATCATCACCTTTCATAAAGAATTTTTCAAGAAGCAATAACAATTTTACATTTTTCAGGAGCTCCTGTATATCAGTAGGCAGTATCAATGGAAAAGAATCTAAATTGGGGGAACCAGCAGTTAGCGTAATGGCTATGTCGCTAGACTCCCACATAGTCGACCGCAGTTCGCGTCCCGGACCAGGTGGCTTAGAACTCACGCCAGGAGCATGTGCGTGCGTGCCCAAGATCCTGAGAGGAGAATGGAGGAGAAGGGATTGCTGCGTGGTCATCCCCCCTGGGGGGTGATTTCTCGCTTTCTGTCTGTCTGGCGAGTGCATGCGCCCTATAGCGAAAACCTCTCCAAAAAAAAAAAAAAAAATCTAAATTGAAACCCCCTCAATGTTAATTGTTTATTTTATATGATATAGTTGTGTATTTATATTATAGATATATTAATTATACTTTTTTAAAAAGAGTAGTGTTGTTAATATGGAACAGTCCACATAATGGCCATAGAAATTTCAAATCATATGATTAAGATTTCACCACTTTTGTAAATATGTGTATCTCCTAGGAAGGTCTAGTGCTCAGATCCTTAGAATTAGGAATTCTGTTTTTACATAAATTTTGAGTCTCTTAAGAGCCAAAAGCCAAAGTGAGAAATGCTGTGTCCTGGCTTTGTCTCTGAAATCCCCTTAACCAGTTTAGCCAGTGATCTTTCAAAATCCCTAACTAAGCATTGAAGAAAAGGAAACTAAGATGATCGAACACAAAATCTCATGCAGATTTCCAAAAGCCGAATCTCATACCCACCACTGTAATACCTACTTATGATTAGTTTCTGTCTGACCTAGCCGGATAACTGGATTCAATCCAGTTAATTATTGGATACAATCCGATCCTGGACCCAGTCCAGTTTCTGTTGCAACTCCAAACCTAGTTCAGACTAAAGCTTGCTTAAATAAACTCAGCTCTAAATACAGGTCTGTGGGGCTCAGAAACTGAGAGAGAACTTACCTACAATTTCTAGTTACTGCAAGAGAGCAGGGGACATAAAAGGTTTAGTGGGCAGCTTGCTTGGTCACTCAGTGCTCCTTGGGGGTCTCTGGAAGCTCTGCTTCAGATCCCATTTCTGTTGCCAAGACTGTTAAAAGGAAAACTTCAGGCAAATCTAATATGGCAGGGTTTAATTGGGCAAAAAGCAATTCAGGAATTGAGCAGCCCCCAGAATAGCTTCTGAGGAACTCCTGAAGATGTAAATGAATTTTTTTTTAAGGTTTTTACCAGGGTGTGTGCATTCACTGTAGAGAGACAGAGAGAGGAAAAGTGAGAAATCACCCCCTAGAGGGACGGCCATGTCACAATCCCTTCTCCTTCATTCTCCTCCTGGGATTTTGGACACACACACACAGATGTCTGGCATGATTTTCAAGCTGCCAGGTCTGGGACTTGAACCACAGTCAGTAATGTGAGAGTCCAGCACCTTAACCACTAGCTACCTGCTGGCCCCTATAAATGAACTTTTATTCTCTAATGACAATTATTTTTCATTTGATAGAATTTAGGAAAACATCAGTCTTTTTTTTTTTTTTTTTACTAACTGCCAGATAGTGCTTGTGCTTACCAGAGACAGACAGACCTGAGAGAGGGAGAAAACACCCCTGGTGGGGCATGATTACCCATAGCCCCCTCTCCATTTATCCTGTTGAGATTTGGGGTACAAAGGCTCTTGTTACTGTCATGTTCTTCAAGCTTCCTGAGCCAGGATTAGAACTGTTGGCTGGCCATGTGTGGTCTAGCTCCTTTAACCACTAACTACTAGACCTGGCTCTGTTTTTCCTTTGTTTTCTTTTCTCAGACTTTCTATGTTAGGTGGAATATGTTCCCACGCCCTGAGTGGAAACAAATTCACAAAATTCAGTACATTTGGCAGTCACTGATCACTTCCTTTCAGGTTCTTTAGGGATGACATTCTTAAGTGTATTTGCATAATGTGGATAAGTTAGAAGTGTATTGTTTATTGGAGATCTGCAGGGGATTGGAAAAACCTTATCAGGTGATCTCTTCACCATCTGGTCCCTACCCCACCTTCATTTGGCTGTGTCAACCATCTTTACGTGTGTTTTTAGCTCTCTCTTCTCTCTCTATACAACAGAAGTCGTTTTTATTCTAAGACTTACTTATATATCAGAAAAGCATTTTTTCATTTTGAAAACAACAGTTATTTAGAATATTGACTGACTTTTTTTCCTGAGTCAATTATAAAGAATATTTAATTCTGATAGTATTTTACTTTCAATCTGAAAATTTACTTCAGTTTTGCAGGTTTCATCATACACTGAACCATATTTAATTTGACAATGGAAAGTCCAAAAAGTGGATTTGGTATTTCTGGTAAACATTTGTGTATATGTGTTTGTTTAGGCAGAAGATGATGAAACACCTGTGGATTTAAACAAATACCTGTATCAAATAGAAAAACCTTATAAAGAAGTCATGACAAGGTATAGCATCTAAAACATTAACTGTAGGTTTTCAAATTTTGTTTTTGGATATAAATACATTTATTTTGTAATAAAAACAATAATTTTTATTGTATGAGGGGCATCACAAAGTTCATGGAAAATGGAATTAAAGTAGGAGTTTAATTGAAAAATTGAAATCCAGGAGTAGTTTTTTCATAACATGTGTTTTCCATGAGCTTTTTGACTACTGCCCCTCCCCCTTGTAGTATCCTTTAGTTACAGTAACTGTTCTTTATTTCAGACACCCTGTGGAAGAACTATTAGATTCTTATCACAACCAAGTAGAACTGGCCCTTAAAACAGAAGTAAGTCTTAATTTACATTTTGGCATAATGACCCAAAGAGTCTTCATTTCTGTTCTCTTTTAATTATTACTGTTGGCATTGGGTTAAATATTTAAGGACTTTTGTTTTTTAATTATAAAGGACTTTTTATATTATATTTGTGATGCTGATATTTGATATCTTATTTTCTGACCCAATTTATTAATAATGCTTGAGTCAACAGTTATTCTTACTGTACTATTACCAATATTACGGTTTTGTAAAATGTTTCTTAACCCATTTTCCCTTAATGTTATATGGGAATTCTGTACTAGTAATGTATAACTTACTACTATTGTAACTTTACATAATCTAAAATTATTTCAAAATCAAAACTTAATTTTATAAAATGAAAATAAGAGCAAAAAGCAAATATAAGAAAAAGTCAAAGCCAAAAGATGGTTATTTGAAAAATGAGTACCATTTATAAACTCTTCTTAAAAAGTTAGATTATACCACTGTTTCGCTCATTATCTTACACAGTAAAATACATAACCCTGTTTGGGACTTTGAGGCTATCTGCTTGATTCACCACTTCTGTGATATGGCTTCTTACTACTTTCTTTTTGTTGATTTCTGCCAGGCGTGTTCTACACTGGAGACCTTGGTGCTTGTTATGCTTGTTATTCCCCCTAATGCTCTTCTTCCAGATGTTTCATCCTTAAGGTCTGGGCTCAGATGTCATCAGAGAGCTCTTCACCAAACATCTTACCTAAAATATTGCCTCTGTCATGAGGGGACTTCAGAAAGTTCATGGAGGGCCAGCAGGTGGTGTAGTGGATAAAGCGCTGGATTCCTATGTGGCTATGATTTGAGCTCCGGATCTGGTGGCTTGAAAATCACACTGGGTGCATGTGCGTACTCAAAATCCCAAAAGGGGAATGCAGGAGGCAATTTCTCACTTTCTCTCTCACTGTCTCAGGTGAATGCACATGCCTTATGACAAAAACAAAACAAAACAAAAACAAAAACAAAAAAGTTTATAGAAAATGAAGTTAGATGGACCAGCAGTTAGCATAATGTCCATGTCGCTGGACTCCCATGTAGTCGACCATGGTTTGAGTCCCAGACCCAGTGGCTTAAACTCACACCGGGTGCATGTTTGTGCATGCCCAAGATCCCGAGAGGAGAATGGAGGAGAAGGGATTGCAGTACAGCCATCCCCACTGGGGGGGTGGGGGTGGGGTGGATTTCTCGCTTTCTGTCTCTCTGTCTCTTTCTGGTGAGCACATGCTCCCTATAGCAAAAAACCTCTCCCCCAAAAAAGAAAAGAAAAGAAAATGAAGTTAGAATTTATTTTGATACAAAATAAAAAATTGAAAGCCATGGATAGTTTATTCATAATATTCATTTCACATAAAATTATTTAGGACCCTCCACATATTTCCTTTTTTTTTTAGCAGCTTTATTGAGTATAATTTATATACCGTAAAATTTACCCATTGTAAATTTATGCAGTTCAGTATTCATTTTTAGTAAATGTATAGATAGAGTTCTATAATTATCACCACAATCTAGTTTTAGAGCATTTTCACTCAAAAGTTTCTTTGTATTAATTTATAGTCAGGCTCCATTCCCAGCCTCATCTTCAAGCAACTGCTTATCTGGTTCCCATCTCTACATATCTGTGCATTTCACGGAAATGGAATCATACACTATATAGTTTTTTATATCTGGTTTCTTCCTTATACTATATGGTTTCTGAGGCCCATCCACGATGTAGTGTATGTGTTATAGTATGTAGCTATGGCTTGTTGCTTTTTTATTGTGGAATACTATATTCCAGTGTATAACTATACCATATTTTCTTTATCCATTCACCAAATAATGGACATTTACACTGTCTTTATCATTTTTTTTAATCATTAATGCTGCTTATAAACATTCGTATGTAGGTCTTACGTGGATATATGTTTGAATTTATCTTGAGTAGATTTTGAGGGGGAGGTCAGGAGGTTAGCAGAGTTTTTATTGCTTCTGACTGTTAGTTTTCTAGAGATAATATGTTAATTTATTTTGTTAAAATGAAGTTGGAGTTTTGAGATGGAATAATAGTTTAATTTAATATCCTAAGTGGAATGGGAAAGAGAGCTCACCAAGGGCAGAAGAAAGGAATGTTAAGTGGCATGGAGATTTCCACCGAAGTGAGGAATGGTTGAATCTATGTGGTTGTGAAATTTTCTTAGAACTATTTAGTTACCTGGTGGAAGAAACAGAAGTCTCTGAGCAAACATGAACAGCTTGGTCAGGATGAGGGATGTGAGGGCTGGAAGCAAAAGAAATTGCGATTCAAGTGTGATATTGTGGTTAATGCCATTAAGATTCTAATGGAGTACAGTTTGGGGGATGAAGATATTTTAAGTTTTCCACATGAACATTTATGTAATAAGCTTTTTAAAAATAATATATAGAATAGGGTAGAATGTCAGATGAATGTCCAGAGCAAAAATGGCATGGAGTTGGGGATATGACCCTGTGTCAGTAGTAGGTATAGCAGTCAGAGACAGAAACTATACTAGTTACCTGAATGGGGAAATTGAAAAAAGTTGTTATTTAGTACAAGATAGTTATCTATTGAAAGAGGTCCAAGAGAACTCTAAGGCAGAAGTTAGCACGCTGTGACTTGCACATAAAATTCAACCTGCTGCTGTTACTGGCTGGCCTGTAAATGAAGTTTTATTAGATTATAGCCATGTTTACTCACTGATGTATTGTCTATACCTGTTTTCACATCTTAATGCCAGTTGAATTGCAACAGACTCCATGGCCCACAAAGCCTAAAATACTTACCAACTGGTCTGTTAAAAGCAGTTTGCCAATTTTATTCTAAGAAGTCTAGAAGTAGCAAGTATGAAAAAGTACCGGTCACCTCTAGGATGAGGAGAACGGACAGTGAAGGTACTCTTAAGGGTTAGGATAAGGCCTCCCTCCTAGCCTCAGACTGAAGTTCAGCCTTTTGGAAAAAAGACTGTGTCTAGTTCAGAAACATACAGGTTGCCTATGGCAAAGAAACTTGCTAGAGAACTTTAACTAGATCTGTCTGATGGGAAGAGCATGGCCTGAGAGTACAACTGGAGCTGGCGGTTGAGAACCATTGGGCTTCCACACAATTTAAAAAGAGGAAATAAAATGGAGAACTGGAATCCGGATGGGAAGTGTCTTCCTGTTGCTCTTGCCTTGAAGTGTCCCTTTGGTGCCCTCTACTGACAAAATCTAATATTGTGCCTGCTGGCAGAGAAATGTTTTCGGGTCTAGCTCTAGGAGCACAAAGTAGAGCAAAAGGAGAGGATTTAGAGCTGGTAGACAATACGTTGTTAGCTGACACATAAAGACTGATGGGGAATAGTACAGGAGAATGGTAAGCTTAAAGGTGAAGGGAACATTTGGCTTATGGTAGTCAAACCTCTAGGATGGAAAAATTTAATTTTTTATGGATGGTATAGTATTGAGTTTCAGTCCATTCTTACAGTACTTGGCATAGATGTTTGACATATATGTTTTATGAATGAATTCACTATATAAGAATGTTTCTTAGTGCGATAATATTCTTGTCATTGAGAGTAAAGAAGGATTTTTCGATCCTTCTCATCAGTAAGTGTTCACAGTATATTTATAGATGTATACTTTTAGATCAGAATGAAATCAGCTGTGATGGAGGGATGCAGAGATGTGTCCTCAGGATGTTTTTTTTTCTTTCTTTTTTTGGAGAGGTTTTTGCTATAGGGCGCATGCGCTCACCAGACAGAAACAGAGAGACAGAAAACAAGAAATCACTCCCCAGGGGAGTTGGCACGCCTCAACCCCTTCTCCTCTTGGGATCCTGGGCACACATACACGTGCCCGGAGTGAGCTTAGGCCACCGGGTCCAGGACACGAACCGCGGTCGACTACGTGGGAGTCCAGCGACATAGCCATTACGCTAACTGCTGGTCCCTCCTCAGGATGTTTTTTGATCAGTGATGGTTGTACAGATGCAAATGATGCTTAAAAGTTGACTCACTTCGGGAACCAGCAGTTCGCGTAATGGCTATGTCGCTGGACTCCCACGTAGTCGACCGCGGTTCGTGTCCTGGACCCGGTGGCTTAAAACTCACGCCAGGCGCGTGTGCGTGCGTGCCCAAGATCCCGAGAGGAGAATGGAGGAGAAGGGATTGCGGCGTGACCATCCCCCCTGGGGGGTGATTTCTCGCTTTCTGTCTCTATGTCTCTCTCTGTCTGTCTGGCGAGCGCACGCGCCCTACAGTGAAAATCTCTCCAAAAAAAAAAAAAAAGTTGACTCACTTCTACTAATTGCTATCCAGTGTTTTAATATTAGTATTTGTTAATGATTTATTGCTTTTACATCCAAATCTAATATGAAATTAATGGTATTTGCATGTGAATAATTGTGTCACACAAAATGAAAATTCACCAGGCCTTGCTTTTTTCCTACTTCAAAGTAAACTGTCTAATTGAGAGGCTATCCTCTGGGACCAGCAGTTGGTATAATGGCTATGTGGCTGGACTCCTATGCAGTTGACTGTAGTTTGAGTCCTGGACCCGGTGGCCTAAACTCACTCCGGGCACGTGTGTGTGTGCCCAGGATCCCAAGAGGAGAAGGGGTTGAGGCGTGCCAACTCCCCCGGGGAGTGATTTCTTGTTTTCTGTCTCTTTGTCTTTCTGGCGAGCACACATGCCCTATAGCAAAAATCTCTCCAAAAAAAGGAAAGAAAGAAAAGAAAAGCTATTTTCTTTTTTTCATCACAAGAGTAAAGTTTATCTGTTCTTAGACTCATCTAAAGTAACTAGTGTTTTACTTCATTTCTGAAATTGGCCCTTTAAATTTCACATTCTTGTATTTTACTTTTTATTTTTAAAGAACCAGCACCGAGCAGTGGAGCAAGTAATTAAAGCTGTAAGAAGAATCTGTAGTGCTTTAGATGGTGTAGAGACTCTTGCCATTACAGAATCAGTAAAGAAGCTAAAGAGAGCAGTTAACCTTCCGAGGAGTAGAAGTGCTGATGTGAGTATTTTGTAACTAGCATTTTAATGCATGCAAATGTGCACTTATGTGAGCAGCTGTCACCGAAACTGGGAGATTTTTGCCTTCTGGACAAAACATTATTTAACTTTTTCTTTTTTTCCTTTTGAGTTGATTCAGTTACTTATTTGGTTAGGTGGGAGATTCCTTGGTAAGGGTGGCCTGGGAAGAGATTCATGAAAGCTGATGTTAAATAGGTAGTTGTCAAACTGTGAACCCTTTGTGCATAGAGGAGGACCTCCAGCAGAAATAAATCCATTGGGAGTTTCAAGGTAGACACTGACTTGGAGGACTTGAAGGGTAACAGCTGTCAGTTCTTCCCCTGTGTGGAAGTATCCATAGTTGCCAATGGGAAAAGTTCTACTTTGGACCATACCCCCTCTTTTGAAAAGATCAGGAAGCATCAGTAGTAGTGATTGCCTCAGAAGCAGCCAGGTTAGGTGCCCTTTTACTGTGCCCTACTGTTACTTTTACCATAATAAGAGCTATTCCTCGTGGTATATCCGTGAAGATTTAATTAATTCCATTCATAAGCATGTTTGTACCCTTAATTGGAAAGATGAAAGGAAGGGAAAATTATGTTGATTTCCTCAATATCTAGGTGATAACTTGGTCCATTATGTTCATGCAGAGATCCTATCCATATGGTATATAGAGATTTGTGTTTTTTTTTTTTTCTTCTGTCATGTGCTGCTGTTTACAAATTTTAAAATACATACGAAGTTACTCGGGAGTAATCAACTACTATGGTCCTAATATTGTCTGAGGCATCTATTCATTTTACTCATTTGCTAGAAAAGGAGTAGAGCATAGGTGGGAGGAGAGCTCAACTTAAATAATTATTTGAGTATGAGTCACCAAATGGTAATAGTTCTAGATTCTTTTTTCCTTAAGGATATTTTTTATTATGCTATTATAGAGCAACTACTTGAGAATAAAATAGTTGTTGAGTATCCCCTGTCTGAAATGCTTGGGACCAGAAGCATTTTGGATTTTTTCACTATTTTGAACATTTGTATATACCTATGAAAGATCTTGGGAATGGGATCCACATCTAAACATGAAATTTATTATATGTTTCATATACAACTTATATATATAATAGCCTGAAGGTAATTTTATATAATATTTTTGTGTTACAATGTTTTTGTTTTTAAGTTATTTATTTTTTCCTTCCATGAGTGAGAGGGAGCAAGAAAGACAGCACCTCATCAGGATCTAGATTCCCAGTTCCACTCCCAGCTTCAGCCAGCCCCAGATCATGGCATGTACATACCCAGCATACTCAGGGAGGACTCTAGCCACAAACCTGGAATTGTCCAGTGTGGGTCAGTCTCCCAAAGCATTGTAGTTTATTGCTGCACCATTGGCCAGCCCCACACTGTGCGGTGTTTAAGTGATCTATCCCATGAGACCAGATGTGGAATCTTCCATTCACAGCATCATGTTAGCCATTAAGAAATTCTTGGATTTGGGATTATTTTGGATTTTCAGATTAGGGATACTCAGTCTCTAATATATTAGTGTAGGTATGCCTTCTGATTTTTTTTTTTCTCTTTTTGAGTCATTTTTGCTGTAGGGCGTGTGTGCTCGCCAGATAGAGACAGAGATAGAAAGCAAGAAATCACCCACCAGGGGGATGGCCACGCCGCAATCCCTTCTCCTCCATTCTCCTCTCGGGATCTTGGGCACGCATGCACACACGCTCGGCGTGAGTTTAAGCCACCGGGCCTGGGATTCGAACCACGGTCAACTACGTGGGAGTCCAGCGACATAGCCATTACGCTAACTGCTGGTCCCTGCCTTCTGATTTTTACATAAATAGTTAACTGGCTTAATAGAGCACATTCTTTTTTTTTTAAATTATTTTATTTAACTTTATTTTAATTTGGCTAGAGAGGGACAGGGAGAGGGAGAGAGAGAAAGCCACAAGGTCTGGGACTCAAACTATGGTCAGCCATATGGGAGTCCAGGGCCCTTAACCACCATGCTACCTACTGGCCCCTCTTTATATGATATTCTATAATAATTTTTATTTACTCTGGTTTTCTTCCTTTCTTTTTTTCCTTTTTAAAATTTTTGCCAGAAAAAAATTTTTTTTTTTTGCCAGAGAGGTGAGATAGAGGAAAAGTGAGAAAGTGACCATTCCCTAGAGGGAATGGTCATGCTGCAGTCTCTTCACCTCCATCCTCTATTTCTCCTTTTGGGAATTTGGTCACACATGCACATGTGCCTGTTATGTTTTCCAAGCTGCTGAGTCCAGGAGGGACTCAATCTGTGCAGTTGGCCATGTGGGATCCAGTCACCTTAACCATCACCCGATGGCTGGCCCCACTCTGATTTGCTTGCTACTAAAAGTCACTCATTTACTTGGTTTGGATTTTCCCTTTTCTTTTTGCATTTCTTTTATTTATTGTTATATTAACTCTGCAGACACTTTTGGGGATTTTCCTGAGAATGATATCCTTGACATGTAATCAAGTGTGAACATTTCATATTATGTCATGGGCAATTTTCTGACTTAATTTGTCTGTATATTTAGGTGACTTCACTGTCAGGAGGAGGAGACGCTATCAAGAGTTCAGCTCAGGGTATATATTTAAATTCTTTACATTTTAGCAATAATCGTTGCTTTGAAAATTATATTAACATTTTTTTTTTCAATCTAGGCTCAATGAATCCTGAAAATCTCGTTCAAGTAAGCGTGAACCAATTAACTGCAGCAATTTATGATCTTCTCAGACTCCATGCAAATTCTGGTAGGGGTTCTACAGAGTGTGCCCCAAGTGGCAGAAACATTAGGGAAGCATGGACTACAACAGAACAGCTCCAGTTTACTATTTTTGCTGCACATGGAATTTCAAGTAACTGGGTATCAAAGTAAGTAACTGTTTAAAAGAAAATATGCATAGCTCTACCTTATCTTATTAACTGTTAGAACTGCTATTTTCTTGGTGTTTAATGGGTCATGCAAGAATCCATATTACCTTTGTGGTTTTCATAGCAATTACACAAATGGGGCCAGCTCCATAGCCTAATGGTTAAAGGAGCCAGATCCCACCTGGCCAGCCATGCAGTTTGAATCCCACTCCTGGTGACTTGAAAAACACTCTGAGCATGTATATGTGCATGTCCAAAATCTCAACACGATGGAAATGGAGAAGAGGCTACAGCCTGATGATGCCCCGTTGGGGGTGCTTTCTTTCTCATTCACTCTGTTTCTTTGTCGCTTTCTGGTGAGCACACATACTCTCAGGCAAAAGCTTTTTAAAAATTATACAGATATTTGAGTCTATTTCTGTTTGTGTGTGTATGTGTTTGTATGTGTGTGTGTGTGTGTGTGTGTGTGTGTGTGTGTGTGTGTGTTTTGTTTTTTCTAAATCACTTCAAGCCTAACTTCTGTGGTATACTCCGTAGCAAGTCCCCAGCTAATTAACCTAAAAGTCAGGACCCTGGTGGGCTAGAGGAAGCAGATGATGGTATAATCAGGCCCAAGCAGGACACTTTTTTTCCACCTTGCTCTGTGTCATTCCCTCTCTCTCTCATGCACCCACATATATACTATCATGAATTTAAAAAAAAGAAAAGAAAAAATTACTTCTACTATATATAAAAAGGGCAGAACAACATATGTTGTATTTTACAAGAGAATATGTTAATAAATTAAATTCATTTAAGACTCCTATTCTTTCTGCCTGTACTTTATAACTAAGAAAATTTGAACAGAGAGGAATGGGACTAGATTTGAGGATATTTTTCTTTTCTTTTTTTCTGTAATAGTTTGCAGTATACTGATTGCTAAGCTTCGAAGTCTACAAGAAACTGGAGAGAGACAGAGAGAGAAAGTGAAAATCACCCCCCGGGAGGGATGGCCATGCTGCAGTCATTTTTCTTCCCTTCTCATCTTGGGATTTTGGGCATACACTCACATGCGCCTGCTGTGAATTTGAGCACCAGGTTCGGGGCTCAAACCACAGGTAGCCATGTGAGAGTCTAGCACCTTAACCACTATGCCACCTTTTAGCCCCTCTTCTCTTGAATCCTTACTATGGGATTTTCATTTTTCTTTTTCTTCTTTTTTTTAGTTAATGCCATAAAGATACAACATTTGTTAGTCTATTTTAACATGTTTGGAAATGACTGACATAAACTGACCAGACTATAGTGTTTTCAGCAAAATACTTTTATAATAGCTTAATGTTATAAAATAAAATAAAGCCTAGTGAAAAGATACCAAACATAAATTCTACTTAAATTAAGCTTTAAATTAAATTAATATTAATAAAATGCCTTGAGAGTCATATTTTAATTCATTCAATAAATATTTACCATCTGTGGGCATGT